TCAAAGAGGGTAAACAGAGGGTAAAGCAGAGGGTAAACAGACGCAGTGGCTTACGACACGGTCTACAACTGTCTGCCATCTATAATCCAGTTTTGATTCCCTTTACACCCATGGGGGACACTCCCATTGGTCTTAAATCTGGGACTCTGAAGAAGCTTCTCGGATGAGAGGTGAAATGTCTTCAAGCAACTTAAAGAAGTCCAGACGCTTTTCTTTCTAAGCTCCTTAGACTTTATAATTTATGAGAAAATATTCATAATACTGAAAAAAGTCTTAGATTGTCAAAAATGAATATCTTATCTGACGATTGCTTTGGTGAAAAGGTGCTATATATTACAAACAATGTATTAATAACAACAAGATGACATTGCTTTATAGACTGTTTTTGTGGAAGTGGAAAGGGCAAATCAACTCAGTCTTTTTCTAGAAGGATGTTAGGTGTAAATGTGTCTGTGAATGTCCTGTGACACTATTATCCCCTCTCTCTTTTAATAATGTCAAAGATAATAGTGTCTTTGACACAATTGGACCTAAAGTTTTAACCATTATTAAAACCATCCCAGCTGATCTTAACCATACCATAGTGAACCCATTTCTCAAAAAAAAAAACCCAAAACAAAAAAACAAAAAACAAATCTCAATGCAACAGTGTTCTCAAATTTTAAACCAATCTCTAAACTCTCCTTCCTGTCCAAAATCCTGCAAAAAATGTCTTCCTTCAGTTCCAGGCTCTACTGGAAATTAACGATATCTCAGAGACATTTCAGTCTGGTTTCAAAGCGAAACATTAGGAAAGCGTAGAGCTCCCACCCAGGCAAAAGAAAAATAGAGCTATATCACATGTGATGTGAAAACTTCATTGTTCTCACAATATACTTTTCACATTTGAACAACATAATATCATGTTATTACAATATACATTATATACAATATACATATATATATATATATATATATATATATATATCCATAGGTCCCTCATCCTATTCATGTAGCCCCTTCCGCCGGGGTTGCATGGAGGGTTTCACCCCAAGTCCAGCACCCTGAGGCTGTACGCTAAGCGGAAGGAAGGGGGCCGGGGACTGGTGAGTGTCAGCACCACAGTCCAGGATGAGACAAGGAACATCCAAGAATACATTGGGAAGATGGCCCCAACTGACCGAGTGCTCAGTGAATACCTCAGGCAGCAGAAACCCAAGAAAGAGGAGGGAGACGAGGAACCATCATGGAAGGACAGGCCCCTGCACGGTATGTACCACCGGCAGATAGAGGAGGTGGCTGATATCCAGAAATCCTACCAGTGGCTGGACAAAGCTGGACTGAAAGACAGCACAGAGGCACTAATCATGGCAGCACAAGAACAAGCTCTGAGTACAAGATCCATAGAGGCTGGGGTCTATCACACCAGGCAAGACCCCAGGTGCAGGCTGTGTAAAGATGCCCCAGAGACAATCCAGCACATAACAGCAGGGTGCAAGATGCTAGCAGGCAAGGCATACATGGAACGCCATAACCAAGTGGCCGGCATAGTGTACAGGAACATCTGTGCCGAGTATAACCTGGAAGTCCCGAGGTCAAAATGGGAGATGCCCCCAAGGGTGGTGGAGAATGACCGAGCTAAGATCCTGTGGGACTTCCAGATACAGACGGACAAAATGGTGGTGGCTAACCAACCGGACATAGTGGTGGTAGACAAACAGAAGAAGACGGCCGTAGTGATCGATGTAGCGGTTCCGAATGACAGCAATATCAGGAAGAAGGAACACGAGAAGCTGGAGAAATACCAAGGGCTCAGAGAAGAGCTCGAGAGGATGTGGAGGGTGAAGGTAACGGTGGTCCCCGTGGTAATCGGAGCACTAGGTGCGGTGACTCCCAAGCTAGGCGAGTGGCTCCAGCAGATCCCGGGAATAACATCGGAGATCTCTGTCCAGAAGAGCGCAGTCCTGGGAACAGCTAAGATACTGCGCAGGACCCTCAAGCTCCCAGGCCTCTGGTAGAGGACCCGAGCTTGAAGGATAAACCGCCCGCAGGGGCGTGCTGGGTGTTTTTTTTATATATATATATATATATATATATATATAAATATCATAATAATCTGACAATACTATAATATTGGCCATATTATATTTACATTACCACAGTGAGATGGCTTTAGTCTCATGAACAACATTAACTAATTGTTATTTAATAACTAATCTTGAAATGACTGTTCAGTACAGAAATGAAGCCCAACAATCATGTTTTACAGTCCTGTGGTCTCAGCCTCAGACACTCAACTAATCAAAGTGATGTCATGACAAAAATGAATGATTAACAAAACATTTTTCTCCCTCATTTCTGTCAAACAAAGCTGTATGTAACGTGTCTCGCGGTTAGTATCATGGTTGCTAGGCAACTTGAACAGCGCGACGAAGCGTATACCGTCCCATTTCACAAACCTCCACACTTCTCATACTTATAGTACGCACCATACGTAGTGCGCGTACTTCAAGCATGCAGACCCTGAATTGGGACACAGGCATTGTGAAACCTAGCCCCACCCTATCATGTGATTTCCTGAGGTCAGAAGGCCCTATGATGTGTGTGGGTGTTGAGGTGTCTGGGAAGGGATCTCAAAACTGGATTATAGATGGCAGATAGTTGGTGTTGTAAGCCACTGCCTCTGTTCACTATTTGAACTCTCCCATAGGGCTTAAATCTGGGAGTCTCTGAGACTCTCCACTATTTAACCTTAGACCTGAAGAAGCTTCTCGGATGAGAGGTGAACGTCTTCAAGCGAAGTCCAGACGCTTTTCTTTCCCTTAGTCTTGTGTAGTCTGTTTTCCTCGAAGATTCAGATCTCCTTGTTTGTTTGTTTGTTTGTTTTGTTTTTATCTGAATTATTTTGCACTTAGTTCAAGTTAATAAGGTCACTTTTTAGTTTACCACTCCATCTTCCAAATGCTGCGTTTGGGTCCAACTCCTGCCTAGTGATGTGCAAATAAAACAATGAACCTCTATTGAACCACTTCATCAGTCCTGTTGAAAATTGGTTCATTCATTCAAAGCTTTGTTCAGTGACATCTAGTAATGAAATAGGAGACAGCACATGAAATCTCAATTTCCATTTGCTGATTGTATCAAAGTATTTATATCATTCATTGTGTGAATGATATAAATACAATTTTATAACGATGGATTGATTGGTCAGTTGATTCTATAGAATAGAATAGAATAGAATAGAATAGAATAGAATAGAATGCCTTTATTGTCACTATACAGTTGTACTATGAGATACAGAGCATCTCCTGCTCAGTGTAAACATGCTGGGGGGGTACAATTCTGCAGCGCTATGTACATATGGACAGTATTAACAAAGGGAAAAACATATATATATAAAATATACAATATACAAGACATAAGTAATATGTAATAAATAGTGTCCTCTGGTGGGACATTTGACATGCTGATAGAACCTTGGGAGTACAGTCTTTATATTGGCCTTATTAAAATCACCTGCGATAATGTGAACACCGTCCGGGTGGGCCCGCTGCTATTTGTTAATGGTGTTCAGCAGGATAGAGAGTGCCGTGATTACATTGGCATCGGGTGGAATGTACACAGCCGTGATGATCACTACTGTTAGCTCTCTCGGTAGAAAGAAAGGCCGGCATCTTACCGACATGTACTCGAGGTTCGGGGAGCAGTGACTGTTTATAATTGTCCCGTTGTTGCACCAGCTTTCATGCACGTAAATACAGAGCCCTCCCCCCCTGCTCTTACCGGAGTCCTTTGTCCTGTCCCAGCGGAGCAGAGTGCGGCCTGCTAGCTGCACGCTAGCATCGGGTATTCCCGGGTGAAGCCAGGTTTCAGTGATGATCAAGGCACAGCAGTCACGAACATAGCGATTTCCCACTAGTTGTAATTCCAGGTCATCCGTTTTTTGCACGAGAGATCTGGCGTTGGAGAGATAGAGGCTCAGAAGGGGTGGCTTGTGATTGGTCAGTTGATTCTGTAAACTTATGTAATGTAGCAGGTAGATGAAGGTGTCCTAGGGGAAACAGGATGTGTTGGGATGGTAGCGCATGTTTCAGTAACTAGGGTGGGGAGTGATCATGTACATGGGACATGTGATTTTCCACACTGAAGCAACCTTTGAAATAGTGGTTCAAGGAAAATGTAACTTTGAGTTTGAAGCTTGTGTGGGAGCATCAGTGTCATACGGCCAACACTACTCCTGCCTGTCAGTCTTGACAATGTCCTTCCTATTGTTTTTTTTTTTTATTCCTGTTGACTATTAAGTAAGAAATGAAGGTTAGAGTAGTTCAGTTGCTTTTGCTTCCTTGTATGAAGAAAAAAGTATGCTGATGGTAAAGTCTCAGGTCTTTAGTCTCTATAGTTTTAGTGCCAATGACAAAAATGCATGCTTTTGTCAACATGTTGATGACAGCAAAGGTGAGTGGAGAGATTAAACAAGATATCACAAATACGTTTTATGTAAATGACATCTGGAGACTAAAATGTTTTGAAACGGTGCCTGTAGCACATTATGTGTATGTAAACTATCAACGCTGAAATTAATAAGATCTAATGAGATCTTTTAGAATATGTTTTTGTGAAAATGTCAGTATGTTTGCAACAACAGTTTCCTGCTAATTTCACATTTTTTGCCCCTTAAAAAACTTTGGCTCTGTAAAAATCATATTATTCCACTATGACAGAAGAAATCAAATGAAAATTAAAACTGAAACTTTGTATCAGTGTAAACACATTTCACTAAACTGGAAACTTTAGATATTTAGATGAACTCTACAGAGTGACATGAAGTCGCAAAAGTTGCAGGAGTTCAATTCAGCTAAAAGACAAAAACATTTACCTCCTGTTGTCACATGAAAAGGGTTATTGAGATAAATAGAAACGTAAACCTCTGACACTTCAGAACCACAAAGGAAAGTAAATGATCTTATTTAGTGAATAATACTTTAAATGTGAATAAATCAGTTATTGCTGATTGTCCCCACAGCAAATTCCATGGAGACATCTGGATTTGTCCAGGACAAACTAACTGAATGGGGATTCAGTGAGTTCATGCAGAGATTTAAAGGTATGAGTTTATTATTATTCTTTAATGGAAATTGTTGTATCTGTAATGGCACTAGAACAGCATCGAAATTTACTGATTCAGAAGTCGGTCTGGATATTCCTGTGATTTATGACTTACAATAAAAAAAGTCTTTCATATTCAAAGTTGATGAATATTAATGTTTTGCAGTGTTAGCTTCATCTGACTTTTGAATATTTTATTTTGTTGTTGGCATTATTTCAGATGAAGGCATTGACAAGGAGACGTTTCTAAACCTTGGAGATTCAATCCGAATTAATTTACTGTTTCCTAAAATTGGACCAAGAGTAAAGTTTAGAAAGAGACTCAAAGATTACTTACAGGTAAGGCAGCTATTTTTTATTCTATATCAGCAGGTCTATTGTTTCATTAATGTGTGATGTGTTTGTTTTGATTCTGTAGATGGAGATATGTCATTTTGTCCAGGAAAAATTAACTGAATGGCATCTCAGTGAGCTGATTCACAGATTTGAAGGTATTTTATTATAGTTTGGTTTTGGTCCTTCATAAATTACTGCTGTACTGTAATGCCATATTGATATTTGTTTGTCTAATTTCAATTGGAATACTTCGTTTTGTTGCAGAGGAGGGTATTGACAAAGAAGCTTTCCTAAGTCTCGAGTCAGGCAGAATCAATACTTTGATTCCAAAAATTGGACCAAGAGTAAAGTTTAAAAGGAGACTCAGAGAATACTTACAGGTAATGTTTTATTAAATGTTACAAAAAAATCCTGGAACATAAAGCCATAAAAGTTTAAATATACTGAGGGGTTTTTTTATAAAAAAAAAAAAAATGGCGGTGAAGATCAGTAGATTAACCCTTTACAGCCGATCGGAGCGGGCACGCTCCATTTTGCGTAACTATTTTTAAATCCCGGTAGCTCTGCAACCACGTAAGCTAGCGCAATAATTTTTTTTGCATATGAAACCGGAGGAGTTGTACTTACATCTTATGCCATCAGCTTGTCCTAGGTCACAGTTTCCTTCCACATATAGCTTTGCAAAAACTGCATAAAAATCACTTGCAGCAACAAAAACATGATATTCCAGAAACACGCTTCGCCGATCCGATCAGCTGTTTGTAACACTTCCTACGTCCATCAGCGCGAACTATCACATGACCGCATGACCTGCCCGAAACCGGAAGTGACGTCATTTTGCGGAAATGTAGTTTTTTTACGATCGGGGCCTTATGAGCCTATACTTGTGTTTTAAAAAAGTTATGTTTGAGTTTATGACTTTCTGTGTCGTTTCTGGGATGCTTAGGACTCATATTGCACTGCTGGAAATAGTTTATTTTGATGCATATGCTGTTATTTTGCAAATTTGCACTATAATATTTATTTTCGTTTTTCCTGCAGTGTATAAAAATTGGTGTATTTCAAAAATAAAACTATGAAGACACTCAAAATAAATTTCCTGTGGTGGGAAACTAGTTTGTGCAACTTTTTTGTATTTACAGTTTTGAGGGATGAGCCTCTTAAATTTCTCTAACTAGAAATATATGTTAAAAAAACAAAAACGATTTTCAATTTTTTTGTAGTTTATTGCACTTTTTTGCAATTTATGTAATTACTATGCACCTAATGCAGACATATTATTAAAGTTTGGGCTATAATGGTTGTATTGATGTATAGCAACTTGAAATGCTCCCAAAAATGGCTCCACAGCATGTAAAAATATAATATAAGCTCTGGCGGACTTGGTTCTATGGTAGGTCTTAAAGGGTTAATAGTGTATGCAATGCATCAGAGTGGAGGTTGTGTGTGAGCGCTGTGACATTCAGAAAAATAACCTCGCAATACTCGAGTACAAGATAATGTATTTAATGTAACATTTACTGTGCATGTAATGCATTTCACACTGGTAGGTATCAATATAACAAAATTGATCACACTTCTTTTATTATACGAAATACATCTTAAATTTATCCCTCACCACTGCAGGACTTGAATAGAACAAATGATGATTCTGCTGACATGATGGAAACAAGCGCAGAGCAAGAGAACAATCCAGAAATGGTATGATCTCATTGTGTCTGAACATGGTTCATTACTGAGTTATTAATCTTTGATCATTTTTGTTATGTCATCATGTTATTATATAAAAATTAATGTTGTCAGCGTTAATCTCCTTAAGTAAAGTAAGTAAGTAAAATTTTATTTAAATAGTACCTTTCAAGATAAAATCACAAAGTGCTTCACACAAGCAGAAATGGACATACAACCTCAAACAAACAAAAGCAACCAAAAGCAAGTTTAAACAGATACATTTTTAACTGCTTTTTAAATGAAATGACTGAGTCCACAGATCTCGAACTCAAAGGGAGCGAGTTCCAGAGTCTGGGAGCCATTGACACAAACGCTCTTCATTGTTTGTTTTTAACCTTGTATGCTGGAAAACCAGCAAGCGCTGGTCACAAGACCTCAGGGACCTGCTGGGGCGATAAGGCAGAAGGAGATCACTGATGTAAGTTGGAGCTACACCGTGCAGGGCCCTATAGGTCATGATTATAATCTTAAAATGAACCCTGAACTTGACAGGATGTCAGACTTGACGTCCTGACACCATAGCCGCATTAACGCAGCAAATCTACGTTAGCTGGTTACCGTGGATCTCCCCATGGGTGAGCTGGACGCCGCTAAACAATAACAAGCTTGTGCCATATTGTTAAAATGACATTATGGCGTTAATGTCATTTTAAAGAGATTAATGTTGACAGCACTAATCAAAAATACATTTTGATGGATTCAAGGACTCATATCTTTAGAGTAAAACAGGTGTCAATATGAGCAAAGTGAACCAGGTTAGCTGTTTACCTAAGTCCTCTGCAGAAACAACATGAAGGCCTGTGCCTTGTCTGGATAATTATTTGGTATTTGTTTTCACGCAGGAGCCAAACATTTTTCCTCAACATTTGGAATCTTCTTCAGCGTCTGACACAACAGATGGCAAAGACACGGTAAGAAATGAAGTCAGAAACAATATTTTTAAACTGGTTGAAGATCCAGTGATTTACAATGAGTTTATCTGAAGACAAACATTTTGTCTCCATAATGCTGCAATAAGAGGAGCAATAAATAATGAAGCTAACAAATTCAAACTGCTTCAAATTAGTTTAATATAAATATCTGAAATGCACCTTCATCACGTGAATATGAAATATTAAGAGTATCGGTAGGCCTGGCTGATGTTTTGGCCTTGTTTTAGATGCAGGACCACAACATTTTTCCATTTCAGTTGGAGTCTGCTTCAGCAGTTGACAGAGGCAGTGACACAGTAAGAAGGAATATTGATGTTTCTCCTCAAGTCATGTTGTTATCCCAATATTATTTGTGTATATAAAACACATGTTTGTTTGTCTTTTCAGAGTAATGAACCAATTTGCTCCTGGGCAACAGTGACACAAGGACAAAGTCCAACCACATTTACAATGTTTTACTGTCAAGAGTGTAAAAACTTCATGGGAAACAATCCTGATTCTTGTTGTTCTCACTGTGCCTCTGTGTTCAACAAAGCAAGCAGCATTCAAAATGGAAACTTCTTTCTGTACTCATCCCTGAAAGACCTTCTGAAAGGTATCCTTGAGAACCACAGCACTGAGTTGTTACCTAAAACAGTTAAAGATGAGCATGATAACATCAAAGATGTGATGGATGGGATGATGTACCAGAATCTCCTCAGAGAGGGTAAACTAGCTGCAGATGATCTCACACTGACATGGAATTTTGATGAAGTACCAATTTTTAGCACCACCAGATACTCAATTTGGCCCCTTCAGTTTGTTATTAATGAACTTCCTTACACACAAAGACAGGAAAATATGATAGTTGCTGGATTTTGGTTTGGCCAAGGAAAACCTCATATGAACACATTTCTGAAACCATTTGTGGATGAATGTTGTGATTTAGCCCAAAATCCATTTCAGTGGAGAGACAGCAGAGGCACTCTTCATTCATCAAAAGTCTTCTGCTTGGTTTGCTCCTCTGACGCTGTGGCGAGGCCACTTCTCCGGAATTGCAAACAATTCAATGGAGAATATGGTTGTGACTGGTGTTTACACCCTGGCACAGTGGTACCAAAAGGCTCTGGCTCTGTGAGGTCATACCGATATGATGAAACTAAACAAGCATCAAGATCAAAAAATATGTTTGTTGAAAACACCTCAGAGTATGGTGTAAAAGGAATGTCCTTACTTTCCAGACTTCCTTTGTTTGACATTGTGTTTGGATTTGTACCAGAATATATGCACTCAGTTTTAGTTGGTGTGACTAAGCAACTTATTGATTGTGGCTGAACTCAGAGAACTCCAAGAAAGACTGGTATGTAGGTCAACAGATTTCACAGATGGACTCTTATCTCCGAATGTTAAAGCCTCCATCAGAAATGAGCAGATCTCTACAGTCACTGAAGGGTCGGGACACTTGGAAAGCATTGAGTGGCGAGCTTTCTTTTATTTTATGCTGTTAGTGTCCTACAGGCATCCTCAGCCTTCATTTCTCCAGCATTTTTTTTGTTTGTCGATCAGCATTCACATTCTGCTACAAGAATCAGTCTCCCAAAATGACCTTCAGCTGGCCCATGAGAACTTGGTACTCTTTGTTAGAAACATGGAAGAACTCTATGGTGAAGAAAACGTTTCATTCAACTGCCATCAGTTGATCCACTTAGCTGACTGTGTGCGTAACTGGGGGCCTCTCTGGGCAACATCAGCATTCAGTTTTGAGAGGAACAGTGCAAATTTAAGGGCACTGCTTAGCAACATAAACTACAATCCTCAAAAAATTCAAGACAAGTTTCTCTATTGGCAGCGCCTGCCGAGTCACCTTCGCTCCCCTGTTTCTAACGGAAATTCTCCGTTAGCCAGAATTTCACCTGGAAATTCACGGCATCTGGATATCACAGGATCCATAAAACTAGCAATAGAAGAGCTCTTAAATCGACCTGTTTCATTCAGATCAGTGGAAGCCTTTGACAGCTTCATCAACAGAAATACTGTTTACTCTGTAAAGGGTGAAGAGGCAGACAGAACAGACTGTGTCATAAAACTCAAGAATGGCTGCTATGGAGAAATACAGTTCATCGTCAGGTTTAAAGAGAACTGTGTTTGCACATCCAACTGTGTGTGTGTGCTCGGCTATTTCAGTCATTGTGGTCCAGCTGTTTTATATCAAACGTGATGCAGAGGACAGCAGGATGATTCCTGACAGTGCATCAAGGACTATCTTTGTGAAAGTGGAAAGGATAACTCAGCTCAAAGCCTTCTTCTTGAGGGATGTTAGGTGTAAATGCATGTATGTGGATGGTTGGCTGGTGACTTTACCAAACTCATATGAAAGATATTAAAGTTCCAGCACAGCTAAGGTGCTTTCTCTGTCTTGTATATCATGGCACATGGCTGTTTTTACTACAGTGAAAATCTTGGAAAAATGAACGATGATGAAGTTTTTTCAAAGGAGTTTGGAGTAATTTTGTTCAAATGTGTGCGAGATCTGTGGCTTACGTTTTCTTTTGGTGTAACAGTGTGGACATAATGTAGTCAGTGTAATGTAGGATTATATCACTCAGTACTGTATGTGTATTATCTGTATATGGAGGAAATTATGGAGTGATTTGTAAACAGCCAAAAGCTTGCCTTTCCCAATTTTGTATTCACTACGTATTTATCATACATGTCAGTTTACCTCTATTCAATATGAAATGCAAATTATTGTGACACATAAACATTTCGTGAATTAACGCTAAAAATCCGGGGTGAGTGGATCAATGTGGTTTACTGCATCCTGATACAGATTGCTATTACTGAGATAACAGATCATAAAGCTTCATATTACCTCATATTATTGTGTAATGGCTGATGAGACTTATTCTGTTTAATGTTGCAATGTGTGCAAGTCTATTGAATATAATACAGATTTATTTGCTCAAGAATGTTTGTATCCTGCTACATAAAAATGATTATAATTAAAGTCTTATTACTTTAAATATGCCTGAAAAATCTGCTTGGCCTCCTTCTTCACTCTGGATTTGTGCTGCTATTCAGAGTCAATTCAAATTATAGTGTCGTTCCTAAAAAAAAAAAAGAAAAAAGGATGTGTAAATACAGTAAATGATGTTTAGAGATTTTTGAAAAATAAACATGACCACTGTTCATATGTGGCTTTATTACCTTATCATAGGCCAGAATTAAATATCTAAGTAGGACCCTTGTTTAATACCATGTTAAACATGTTTACCGGGTCATGAACCATCGGTGAAGCAAACAACAGAAAAGAATCTCGTATATAGACTTATGCCGTAAGTTGACCTAAAACTAAAAGGAAAAAACAATCTGACATTTTAAATGAAATCAAACATCGTTTAAAAGACACACATGGCAGTGTGGGAGAAAAAACTCAACACTGAATGCTACAAGTGCACAAATATGAAATCAGCGTGGTGCTGCAGTGAACGCATCAATTCACACAATATTACAGAAATACTTTTTATATAAATGTCTTATATTGTTTCTTGGTCCCATCAATTTCTTATTCTTCAGTCATTTCTGAAACAAAGTCCACACTGAATGCCTGCTGTGCATCTGTGGTTGTGTGAAGCTACATTAATGTAACAGCATGCCAGAGTGTAAACAGAGATCTTTGTCTATACGTTGAAACAAGGTTGTGCCTGAAAATTGCTACTTTTATGTGACATTTTATGTGAATATGTGACAAATGATGTTAGAATTATAATTAATTATAGAGAAAACTGTTTAAACCTTGGTGGGCAATGAGCTTAGAAAGAAGGATTATCTAGAAAATGACTTCAGGAAATGGTTGTGTTATAAAGTTGTTTTACAATCTGGACCAGTACAGACTTGCTCCTGACAGTTAAACTGTAATAACATCCCACAGCCGTGTTTCACACCTGTTGGTAGTGGGGCATTTTGGCTTCTGCTGCATCTTTTTAGTCTGTGCTGGAGATTCACCAACCCTAAAGAAGTCCAAATACACCACTGATCACTGGATCTCAACAGCATTAATGCAAAACATGTGTTTCCATTTCTTGTCTTACTTCTTTTTCCTGTCCAGAGACCGATGTGTGGCAGCAGAAAGGGCCACTCTCTCTTTGGGGCACTTAGCTTTCTCCTGTTGGAGTGAATGTAGTTTATAGTTTATGAAAAAATAATCAGAATACTGAAGATGTCAGAGATTGTATCTTTTTTCCTTTTCATAAGTCATTAAAACCAAATACTAAAACACTTTGATATGACTCAGAGAACTGAAAACTCAGCATAGATAAAAAAAAGGAAACAATGTACAAATTGGTAACTATAGCCCAAAAGGCTGATTGTGTTCATCTGCGCGTAGTGTTTTCAGTGAGACAAATGTTTTGTCACTCATCCAAGTGACTTCTTCAGTCTCAACTGACTGCAGGTTTTCCCAAACAGTACATTTGGGATTTACTTACCTTGATGATTAAGCATGCATCTGGTAATTAAAGCACTTGAAGAAAAAAAAATGCAATGAATAAATCATACACACTTAAATATTGTATTTTGACCACAACTAAATTGTCTGACTGTCTGTATAAAACTGAACTTAGAGCTATAAGCAGTTGATATTAAATATATGCATCACTAAAACATGACAGATAACAAAGCCAGAGTAATTAGGTACACAACTGTTTTTAAGTGTTTTTAATTTAGCTTCTTTTGACTTACATTTAACTATAGCTACTTATTTTTTCCTTCATTGACAATCAGCTGTTGACACAAATTATTTTGGCGAGTGGCAACAGTCAAACCAACAGCACTGTGATGTTTTTGTTCGTGAATATGTAGACACGCTGGTGCGAATGTCTTACTATACAGGCTGGTTCTTTAGATACAAGGGGGGGAGTGCGCGAGTCAGAAACCCAGGGCACATAGATGATGTAAGTCTCATCAGAAACAGCTTATTTCCAAACCAGGGAGGAAGAATGAAAAACAATTCTAAAAACAAGCAATAAAATGTTGTCAAGGTACTAAAATCCCCAGAAATAAATAATCCCAATTTCAAAAAAACATATAAAACACAATGTTCTATGCTCGCTAAACTCCCACCCTGTCCCACAATGTAACTGTCCCACAACAAAGGATAAATGTTTGTTAGGTGTTCACAAGCAGGACCGAAATTCCTCCTTCAGAGCAGGCTCCAGACCAGCCTCGTCCCAGGCAGAAGAGGAGAACCCTCCTATCCCCATCTCATCCTGGAGTCCATTGCTCCACCGCGGCTCCCCTCACATCATTACACTGTAAACAAAAAAACAGGGGCCAGAACCATTCTCCCAGAAGCTGGCCTGGCTAATAGCCATGGTGACCCTCTCACAATACGGCTCTACTCGGTGAGCAACAGTTCATTCATGTGAATTTTCAAAGCTAATTCAAGGACCATCGTGTGGTTAGCAGCATTGACTAAAGTCTTAGTGGTGAAAGGTTTGCATTAAAAGAGTAAAAACTCCAGTTAGGGCATGACTTTAAATACATTAAAGGCAGGGTGCGTCTGAAGACTGCTGCATTTATGAATATGTGACTAAAATAATGTTAGAACTGTAATTAATTATCTATAAAAAACAAAAAATGTTTAAAGTTTTGCGGACACTGAGCTAAGAAAGAATGACTACAATGTTTATTGGTACTATACTGGTACAATAATTACTGGACAAGTACAAACTTGCCCCTTACAATTAATGTAACAGCATGCCAGTGTGTAAACAAAGATCTTTATTTATACGTCGAAAGCAGGTTGTGTCTGAAGACTGCTACTTTTATTAATATGTGACAAATTATGTTATAATTATAATTAATTATAATAAAAAATATTGAAACCTCGGTGGACAATGTACTGAGAAAGAATGACTTCAGGCAATGGGTGTGTTATAATAGATGTTTTACAATCTGTACCGGTACAGACTTGCTCCTGACGGTTAAGCTGTCCTGAGGCACAAACATGTTGTCTTTGGCTTGGCTTCAAGACTCTAGGAAAGGAGTAATGAATGTATGTAAATAACTTTTGAGGACAATCATTTAGAAATAACATCAAGTGAAATTTAGAATCAATTAAAAGTAATAATGAAGTAATATCGTATTTGTTGGTAGTGGGGCATTTTGGCTTCTGCTGCATCTTCCTAGTCTATGCTGGAGACTCACCAACTCCAGTACCACATACACCACTAATCACTCGATCTAAAAAGCATTGCCATAAAAACATGTGTTTCCCTTTAATTTCTTACTTCTTTTTCCTGTCCAGAGACCTCTGTGTGGCAGCAGAAAGAGCCACTCTCTCTTTGGGGTACTTAGCTTTCTCCTGGAGGAGCGAATATAGTTTATGTCTGTGGGGGTTCTCAGCCATCCAGGTCATCGTAGTCTAAGGACCTTGGAAAGAAAAACGTCTGGACTTGAAGATGTTTCACCTCTCATTCCTGGGTCAAATGGTGGAGAGTCCCAGATTCAAGCCCTATTGGAGTATCCCCTAAAATGGACATGGACCCCCTATTGATCCTCTACCTAATCACATGAGCCAAGGTGTGAAAACAGGTGTTGGTCACAATCAGCCAAAGTTTCGGGTGAACTCATTGTGAAACCAAGCCCCACCCTCTCATGTGATCTCCTGAGGTCAGAAGAACCAGGATGTGCATAGGCACGGGATCTAGAAACTGGATCATAGATGGCAGACAATTGGTGTCGTAAGCCACCGCCTCTGTTCAAAGAGGGTAAACAGAGGGTAAAGCAGAGGGTAAACAGAGGCGGTGGCTTACGACACGGTCTACAACTGTCTGCCATCTATAATCCAGTTTTGATTCCCTTTACACCCATGGGAGACACTCCCATTGGTCTTAAATCTGGGACTCTGAAGAAGCTTCTCGGATGAGAGGTGAAATGTCTTCAAGCAACTTAAAGAAGTCCAGATGCTTTTCTTTCTAAGCTCCTTAGACTTTATAATTTATGAGAAAATATTCATAATACTGAAAAAAGTCTTAGATTGTCAAAAATGAATATCTTATCTGACGATTGCTTTGGTGAAAAGGTGCTATATATTACAAACAATGTATTAATAACAACAAGATGACAGTGCTTTATAGACTGTTTTTGTGGAAGTGGAAAGGGCAAATTAACTCAAAGCCTTTTTCTAGAAGGGTGTTAGGTGTAAATGTGTCTGTGAATGTCCTGTGACACTATTATCCCCTCTCTCTTTTAATAATGTCAAAGATAATAGTGTCTTTGACACTATTGGACCTACAGTTTTAACCATTATTAAAACCATCCCAGCCGATCTTAACCATACCATAGTGAACCCATTTCTCAAAAACAAAACAAAACAAAACAAAACAAACACATCTCAATGCAACAGTGTTCTCAAATTTTAAACCAATCTCTAAACTCTCCTTCCTGTCCAAAATCCTGCAAAAAATGTCTTCCTTCAGTTCCAGGCTCTACTGGAAATTAACGATATCTCAGAAACATTTCAGTCTGGTTTCAAAGCGATACATTAGGAAAGCGTAGAGCTCCCACCCAGGCAAAAGAAAAATAGAGCTATATCACATGTAATGTGAAAACTTTATTGTTCTCACAATATACTTTTCACATTTGAACAACATAATATCATGTTATTACAATATACCTTATATACAATATACATTATATATATATATATATATATATATATATATATTATATATATAATATTACATTACCACAGTGAGATGACTTTAGTCTCATGAACAACATTAACTAATTGTTATTTACTAACTAATCTTAAATGACTGTTCAGTACAGAAATGAAGCCCAACAATCATGTTTTACAGTCCCGTGGTCTCAGCCTCAGATACTCAACTAATCAAAGTGATGTCATGACAAAAATGAATGACCAACAAAACATTTTTCTCCTTCATTTCTGTCAAACAATGCTGTATCTCGCTGTTAGTATCATGGTTGCTAGGCAACCTGAACAGCGCGACGAAGCGTATACCGTCCCATTTCACAAACCTCTCACTTCCGCACTTCTCGTACTTATAGTACGCACCGTACGTAGTGCGCGTACTTCAAGCATGCAGACCCTGAATTGGGACACAGCCATTGTGAAACCTAGCCCCACCCTATCATGTGATTTCCTGAGGTCAGAAGGCCCTATGATGTGTGTGGGTGTTGAGGTGTCTGGGAAGGGATCTCAAAACTGGATTATAGATGGCAGACAGTTGGTGTTGTAAGCCACTGCCTCTGTTCACTATTTGAACTCTCCCATAGGGCTTAAATCTGGGAGTCTCTGGGACTCTCCACTATTTAACCTTAGACCTGAAGAAGCTTCTCGGATGAGAGGTGAACGTCTTCAAGCGAAGTCCAGACGCTTTTCTTTCCCTTAGTCTTGTGTAGTCTGTTTTCCTCGAAGATTCAGATCTCCTTGTTTGTTTGTTTTTTGTTTTTTTGTTTTTATCTGAATTATTTTGCACGTAGTTCAAGTTAATAAGGTCACTTTTTAGTTTACCACTCCATCTTCCAAATGCTGCGTTTGGGTCCAACTCCTGATGTGCAAATAAAACCATGAACCTCTATTGAACCACTTGATCAGTCCTGTTGAAAACTGGTTCATTCATTCAAAGCTTTGTTCAGTGACATCTAGTAATGAAATAGGAGACAGCACATGAAATCTCAATTTCCATTTGCTGATTGTATCAAAGTATTTATATCATTCATTGTGTGAATGATATAAATACAATTTTGTAACGATGGATTGATTGGTCAGTTGATTCTGTAAACTTATGTAATGTAGCAGGTAGATGAAGGTGTCCTTGGTGGAACAGGATGTGTTGGGATGGTAGGGCATGTTTCAGTAACTAGGGTGGGGTGTGATCATGTACATGGGACATGTGATTTTCCACAATGAAGCAACCTTTGAAATAGTGGTTCAAGGAAAATGTAACTTTGAGTTTGAAGCTTGTGTGGGAGTACCAGTTTCATACGGCCAACACTACTCCTGCCTGCCTGTCAGTCTTGACAGTGTCCTTCCTATTGTTTGTTTTTATTCCTGTTGACTATTAAGTAAGAAATGAAGGTTAGAGTAGTTCAGTTGCTTTTGCTTCCTTGTATGAAGAAAAAAGTATGCTGATGGTAAAGTATCAGGTCTTTAGTCTCTATAGTTTTAGTGCCAATGACAAAAATGCATGCTTTTGTCAACGTGTTGATGACAGCAAAGGTGAGTGGAGAGATTAAACAAGATATCACAAATACATTTTATATAAATGACATCTGGAGACTAAAACATTTTTTAAACAGTGCCTGTAGCACATTATGTGTATGTAAACTATCAACGCTGAAATTAATAAGATCTAATGACATCTTTTAGAATATGTTTTTGTGAAAATGTCAATATGTTTGCTACAACAGTTTCCTGCTAATTTCACATTTTTTGCCCCTTAAAGAACTTTGGCTCTGTAAAAATCATATTATTCCAAATCAAATGAAATCAAATGAAAAATAAAACTTAAACCTTTGTATCAGTGTAAACACATTTCACTATACTGGAAACGTTAGATATTTAGATGAACTCTACAGAGTGACATGAAGTCGCAAAAGTTGCAACAGTTCAATCCAGCTAAGAGACAAAAACATTTACCTCCTCTTGTCACATGAAAAAGGTTATTGAGATACATAGAAACTTAAACCTCTGACACTTCAGAACCCCACAGGAAAGTAAATGATCTTATTTAGTGAATAATACTTTAAATATGAATAAATCAGTTATTGCTGATTGTCCCCACAGCAAATTCCATGGAGACATCTGGATTTGTCCAGGACAAACTAACTGAATGGGGATTCAGTGAGTTCATGCAGAGATTTAAAGGTATGAGTTTATTATTATTATTTAATGGGAATTGTTGTATCTGTAATGGCACTAGAACAGCATCGTAATTTACTGATTTAGAAGTCAGTCTGGATATTCCTGTGATTTATGACTTGTAATAGAAAACAAAAGTCTTTCATATTCAAAGTTGATGAATATTAATGTTTTGCAGTGTTAGCTTCATCTGACTTTTGAATATTTTATTTTGTTATTGGCATTATTTCAGATGAAGGCATTGACAAGGAGACGTTTCTAAACCTTGGAGATTCAATCCGAATTAATTTACTGTTTCCTAAAATTGGACCAAGAGTAAGGTTTAGAAAGAGACTGAAAGATTACTTACAGGTAAGGCAGCTATTTTTTATTCTATATCAGCAGGTCTATTGTTTCATTAATGTGTGATGTGTTTGTTTTGATTCTGTAGATGGAGACATGTCATTTTGTCCAGGAAAAATGAACTGAATGGCATCTCAGTGAGCTGATTCACAGATTTGAAGGTATTTTATTATAGTTTGGTTTTGGTCCTTCATAAACTACTGCTGTACTGTAATGCCATATTGATATTTTTTTTGTCTAATTTCAATTGGAATACTTCGTTTTGTTGCAGAGGAGGGTATTGACAAAGAAGCTTTCCTAAGTCTCGAGTCAGGCAGAATCAATACTTTGATTCCAAAAATTGGACCAAGAGTAAAGTTGAAAAGGAGGCTCAGAGAATACTTACAGGTAATGTTTTATTAAATGTTACAAATAAAATCCTGGAACATAAAGCCATAAAAGTTTAAATATACTGTTTTTTTAATAAAACAAATGGCGGTTAAGATCAGTAGATTAATAGTGTATGCAATGCATCAGAGTGGAGGTTGTGTGTGAGCGCTGTGACATTCAGAAAAATAACCTCGCAATGGTAGGTATCAATATAACAAAACTGATCACACTTTTTTATTATACGAAATACATCTTAAATTTATCCCTCACCACTGCAGGACTTGAATAGAACAAATGATGATTCTGCTGACATGATGGAAACAAGCGCAGAGCAAAAGGACAGTTCAGAAATGGTATGATCTCATTGTGTCTGAACATGGTTCATTATTGAGTGATTAATCTTTGATCATTTTTGTTATTAATGTCATCATGTTATTATATAAAAATTAATGTTGTCAGCGTTAATCTCCTTAAGTAAAGTAAGTAAGTAAAATTTTATTTAAATAGTACCTTTCAAGATAAAATCACAAAGTGCTTCACACAAGCAGAAATGGACATACAACCTCAAACAAACAAAAGCAACCAAAAGCGAGTTTAAACAGATACATTTTTAACTGCTTTTTAAATTAAATGACTGAGTCCACAGATCTCGAACTCAAAGGGAGCGAGTTCCAGAGTCTGGGAGCCATTGATACAAACGCTCTGTCACTGTTTGTTTTTAACCTTGTATGCTAGAAAACCAGCAAGCCCTGGTCCCTGGTCACAAGACCTCAGGGACCTGCTGGGGCGATAAGGCAGAAGAAGATCACTGATGTAAGTTGGAGCTACACCGTGCAGGGCCCTATAGGTCATGATTATAATCTTAAAATGAACCCTGAACTTGACATGATGTCAGACTTAAAATGACATTGACGCCATAGCCGCATTAACGCAGCAAATCTACGTTAGCTGGTTACCGTGGATCTCCCCATGCGTGGAGCTGGACGCCGCTAAACAATAACAAGCTAACCGCTTACGCTATAAAGTTAAAATGACATTATGGCGTTAACGTCATTTTAAAGAGATTAATGCTGACAGCACTAATAAAAATACATTTTGATGGATTCAAGGACTCATATCTTTAGAGTAAAACAGGTGTCAATACGAGCAAAGTGAACCAGGTTAGCTTTACCTAAGTCTTCTGTAGAATTCTCCAACACAGCTCAACTGTTTTTCACAAACTGTGAGTAAACAACATGAAGGCCTGTGCCTTGTCTGGATAATTATTTGGTATTTGTTTTCACGCAGGAGCCAAACATTTTTCCTCAACATTTGGAATCTGCTTCAGCGTCTGACACAACAGATGGTGTACAAAAGGCCAGCCAGTTCGCAGAACTCACGAACGGAGCCGCATCTGCGGAGTAAGATATCAGCATACGGCTGCCGTTTAGCCAATGAGCGGTGAGGCAACCCATTCTCTTCACCAATCAGAAGACACAATTCTACCTCATCATTACGCACACGTCGACGCAGAGAGTTCGGTCGGAGCTGCAGGTGGGAAGAGTCAGCAGAGTTTTACTCACCGTGTGGATTTTCATTCCTCTAATGCTGTTAGCGGTGTGTGTCCATGAGACTGTAAGTTTCTGTGTTTATCGTGTTTGTTCTTTGCTGCGGCCATTATCCTCCCTTGTTTAATCCTTGGCGCACACTTTGTTTACCGATTGTTACTGCCGTTTACTGCGAAGCAGCCTCTGCCGTGCGGTCATTAAGGGACCGTCACTAATTTCTCATGTTAGCTCTAATGTAAAGTGCCTAGTTAGGATTTATGTAAATAGTAAAATTAGCATTTGTTGACACTCCCTTATTTTGGTTGAATGTTCCACTATCCAGTATTGTTTGTATTGTTGTATTACACATTTAATTCACTCTGTTCACATAATTATGGAAGACTTTTATGTTCTTTCCAACAGAAACCACACCATCACTCACCACACGGCATATAGCATTTTACAGTCTGTTAAATCCCCTCACTCACATTATGGATGTGTGCTTCGGATTCTTGCTAAATAAATGAGTGAACGACAGATACCTGAGTGGCAGTGGATTTTGTGGATATGCCATCTGTTCTTATCGGACAACCCTGTTGAGATTGTGGATTCTTAGAGTCAGCACCTTATCATCTACATCAGTCATAGTCAGGAGGTCAAGTCCATCCCACTTACAGTGACCTCCTCCATTACATGGTCCTTCGAGCCGGAGTAACAGTTTCACAGGCAAGATGGCTTTCTCATCCTCGTCCTCGTCGCGATGGTCATCGGCCTCGTTACCTCGATGACTTCTTGGTGCAGTTGCCAAGGAGATCACTACCACAGGTGCATGTGTCGCACAACCAGTCCCCTGATGACCATGGGGCACATCCCAACACCTCAGCCACTCCAGCTGACCAGACTTCTCAGCATGGCACCTCAGACGTGGTATTATCAGCACTGAGAGAAATGCAGGAAGATAATAATCAGCTCAGACGAGAGGTTCAGACTCTGCTTGGTGCCCTCTCTCTCCGGTCCTCAGCCCTCCAGACGTCACCAGCTCCCCAACCTTCTGCATTAAGCCCCAGTACCCAGGACCAGAGGCAGTCCTTGTGGACTGATTCCATGCCTCAGTCTCCTCATCCTGACCATGCCTCCAGACACTACCCACACACGGTACGTTCCTTTCACATACCAGAGGATGACATACAGGATTTACCTTGGCCAGAGGCATCACTTCCACTTGATCCTCAGAGTGCTGAGCCATTCCCTGTTCCACCACCTCCGGTATCAGAAATTCCTGCTAGTGCAGCAGCCTCAGGTCCTTTCAGATGTACATCACCTTATCAGTACAGTCAACTTCCTGTGACTGAACAGGTTGGGAAAATTAACGTGAAGGACGAGTATGGGCCTGGAGCATGTGTGAAGAGGCAGGTCACCCCTGAATATGCAGAGCCATACACCTTTCAGCGCCAACAACCAGAAAGCTTCCGGGAGATGACTGGGGACCCGCCTCGCTGGCCGCCAACTGATTCCAAAGCCTGGAGGAAATATGGTCAGCACGAACCTCTACCAAGTACAGAGACCGTGCACCGGGGACCAACACCACACATTCCATACTTCACGTCTGATGACCCCAGCCAGTTCGCTCGTTTGCGAATGGCCCTTGACAATATCCTGCCTCACGATGCAACTGAACGTTTCAAGTACCAGATCCTAGTCGATCACCTCAAGTTGGAAGACGCCCTCCTTATTGCCGATTCCTACAGCAATAGTCGCTATCCATACAGCCAGACCATGTCATCCCTGATAGAGCTGTATGGTCAACCTCACAAACTTGCCCTGCAGCGGATCAATGACGTGTTGTCAGAGTCTCCGGTACGAAGTGGTGACAGCCGAGCGTTCCGTCTTTTCGCCCTGAAAGTGAGGGCTCTCGTGGGAATGTTAGAACAGCTTGGGAAAGAGGGGAGAGCAGAACTAGAGTGTGGGTCACACGTCACCAGACTGCTGTCCAAACTGCCACACAGTCTTCGAGCGCAGTTTAAGCGGTTCATCAATCCTCTTCAGACACCCATCCCAACCTTAGCAGATTTGGCAGAGTGGCTTGAATATGAAGTCCGCATCCAAGATGATGATGTGTATTTCCATCATCATCAGCAACCTCGAGAGCCACATGTGGATCGTGGGAAGGGTGCCAGAACCAAGCAGAGATCTGCAGCGGCAACCACAACCGTCTTATTGGGCTACGACCCTCCTGCTAAAGGCCCAGAGCCTCCAAAACAGGCATCACGTCCAGTTTCCAAATTGGGGAAGCCAAAGAAATTCTGCCCCTTCTGTAATAATCTTCAGCACTATTTCAATCAGTGCACAGATTTCAAGAAGCTCAATATAGAGCAGAAGTTGTCTTGGATTCAGACAGGCAAGCGGTGCTGGAGATGTGGAAGGGACCATCCAGAGGCGCAATGCTACCTGAAAGCTAGATGCCAGCAATGCAATCAGGTGCATTTGGAGACACTCCATGAGATTAATGCATCGCGATCCACTAGTTCTGACAGACCGGCGGAGGAAGCTGTCCAACCCGTCACGTACTACGTTGATCCAACATGGGGGACCAGCTGTGTGCTACTGAAAATGGTCAGGGTGTGCCTCTATAATGGCAAAATGAAGCTAGAGACATATGCCATCCTAGATGATGGGTCAGAGCGCACAATCCTTCTTCACAGTGCTGCCCAAGAGCTGGGCCTTCAGGGAAAGAGGGAGGAGTTGGCGCTCCGAACCATCCGACAAGATATTAGAACGGTGGAAGGACATTCCGTTTCCTTCTCTATAGCCTCCGCCACTGACCCTCGGAGATGGTTCCGGATCCAAAGAGCATTCACTGCCACTGAGCTTGGGCTTGCCAAACACTCACATCCAGCTGATGCACTGCAAAGGTCCTACCGCCACCTGCGAAGTCTTCCACTTCATTCGTTCCACCAAGCTCAACCATTATTGCTGATTGGCTCTGACTACCCACATCTCCTGACTCCAATAGAGCCTGTCCATCTGGGTCCACGGGGAGGACCAGCTGCACTCAAGACACGGCTGGGTTGGACTCTGCAGGGTCCAGCCAAGGTTCTTCTACATCAAGCCTCCACTCCTCAGTGTCTACTCACAAGCACCCTGACTCCCAGTGCTGAACTTCTCAGTAATGTAGCCAAGCTCTGGCAGATGGATGTTCTCCCATACCAGAATGAGAAGGTGGCCACACGTTCAAAACAGGATACCATGGCTGTCAAGATGCTAGAGGAGAAGACCATTAAAGTGGAGGTGGATGGTATCAACCGGTATGCCACCCCGTTGCTGTGGAAAGAGGAACCAGTCCCGCTTCATTCCACTAAGGACTCTGTCTTGGGTCACCTGCGAGCTACGGAGAAGCGCCTCCTGAAGACGCCTGTACAAGCAGCCACCTATAACCAGGAAATTCAGAAGCTGGTGGATGCAAGCTATGTGAGTAAACTGACCATCGCAGACATGGAGATGGATGGTAGCACCTGGTACATACCACACCACATGGTTCAGCATAATGGCAAGGATCGCGTTGTCTTCAACTGTTCTTTCGTGCACAATGGTAACAGCCTGAATCAGCATCTCCTACCTGGTCCTACCCTGGGCTCGACGCTCCTGGGTGTGTTACTTCGCTTCCGGGAGTATCCCATTGCAGTGAGCAGTGACATCAAGGGGATGTTTCATCAGGTCCGCCTCTTGACTCAGGACAAGCCCTTCCTCCGGTTCCTCTGGAGAGATATGGATCGCACGAGGCAACCAGAGGTTTACGAATGGCAAGTGTTGCCTTTCGGGACGACATGCAGTCCCTGCTGTGCCACCTATGCTCTGCAGCGGCACGTTCTGGATCACAGCAGCCCCAGCGAGGATACCCGTCACACAGTGGAGAAATGTTTCTATGTTGACAATCTCCTCCAGAGCTTCGCATCATTTCCCGAAGCCCAGCAACTGGTTAACAAAATCCAGCAGTTGCTGCTCACCGGTGGCTTCGAATTACGACAGTGGGCTTCCAACTACCCAGAACTCATCAGTCATATGCCACCTGGATCAGTCTCACAGAGCAGTGAACTGTGGTTTTCCCCCGATGGGACTGATGTACCAGAGCGGACTCTGGGCCTGCAATGGCACTGTCAGTCTGACGAGCTCAGATATCAGATTCGGCACACTGAGCAGTTGGTGGAGCCCACAATGCGCAACATCTATCGGGTTCTGGCCAAGCAGTATGATCCGCTTGGCCTTCTCATTCCTTACACCACTCGGGCCAAAATCCTGGTGCAGCATCTCTGGAGGAAAAGGAGAGACTGGGATGATCCAAATCTGCCAATCGACCTGCTGCAGCTGTGGCATGCATGGGAAAGTGAATTGATTCAGCTCCCTGATGTCTCCCTGCCACGTTGTTACGTGCAGCCAGAGACAGACCCATCCCTTTGCAAGCAGAGCATCCACATCTTCTCCGATGCATCTGAGAAGGCATATGGAGCTGTAGCCTACCTTCGGACAGAAGATCATATGGGGGGAATCCAGGTAGCCTTCCTAGCTGCCCGATCTCGAGTTGCTCCCGTCCGTCAACAGTCCATTCCGAGGTTGGAGCTCTGTGCTGCTCATGTGGGAGCCCAGCTTGCTGCCGTCCTCAAGAGGGAACTCACCCTTCATATCTCAAGCATTGTCTATTGGACCGACTCCACTACAGTCCTGAACTGGCTCCAGTCCCAATCCTGCCGCTACAAGATCTTTGTGGGCTCTAGAGTTGCAGATATTCAAGAGCTAACTGAAGGGAGCCTGTGGAGATATGTCAG